TAAGCCTAAGCCTAAGCCTAGGCCTAAGCCTAAACTTATTATTTTCTTTAGACTCAAAGCAGAAATCTTTAGAAATTTTGCTTGTGCCTTTGAAGGTCGTTGCACTACCAGAGCATATAACGCACGGGGCTCCTCTACTCGCGGTAAAACGTCAAAACAGTTCAGAAATATCTCGGGACTTAAACTTTTGACGAAATCAAGAGGAACGGCTCCTGATGTCAAGCAGGTATACAGCAGACAAATCCAGATCTTTATTCTTTCTGAGTCAAATGTAACGATCATCGGACCACCATAATCTAATCCGGCAAACTGTAGTGGCCGTGAAATTCTTGTTTGAACAGTTGGTATAAGAGCCTTTTGCGGATCTGCGAAAGGTTCCGCCCGATCTCTCATGCATTCTTTACATTTTCTGATTACTTCTTCCACTGCTCTTCTCCCCTTTAACACCAAAAATTTTGCCGTAACTCAGCTGAGGTTGCTTGTGCTGATGCATGAAACAATTGGCAGTGAATATTAATGATTAAATTAGAAATTAGATTTTTGAATGGGAGCAATGTCGCAGCCTTAGCGTGCGAACTTAACTCAGCTTGCTCATATCTTCCATAACACCGGAGAATTCCATATAAACTATATTGTGAAACAAGATCATTTTTTGCGCCTTTCATTAAACATTTCAAGGTATCTGAAGAATGATTTGTCCGCACCACTTCCAAAATAACTCGCTCAACTAAAGAAAGTTCTTCAACGGTAGCCTTCCCGCAAGCTTCTAATTTTTCCAAAAAATTCATCTCATAAAATCGGTCTCTGGTTTCACGGCTGAGTTAGTCCCATAATTTCTTTTCTAAGAAATGTGACATAATAATGATGACCTATTGAAAATGAACCCAACTGCAAGCATTTATGCGCTCTAAAAAATCATTTTTCCCTTGAGCCACAGATTCCATGGTCTTGCTTATTAAGGATCGCTGAGAAATAATTCCCGGAAAACCATAAGAGATTCCAGGACATTTATCTTGGTCAAACTTTATCCACTTTGGTCCATTTCACCAGAATGTACACTCACTCAAATACTTCGGAGTGCAGCCTCTAGTCGACAAATCCGCTGGATTCTCCTCAATTTTAATATATCTATAGTTAATTTCCTTAGCACTCCTTATCTCTTTTGCACGATTTTCAATAAACACCGATAGCAGTTTGGCAGAAAATATCCATTCCAATAAACACTTTGAATTACTCCACAAAAAAATTTGAGGAGAAGTAAATCAAAGTTTGTGAAGTACAATTCGCAAAGATCTTACTCCTATTAACACATCTAGAAGTTCTAATCTGGGAAGAGGCACGTCCTTAACAGGACTTAAACGAGATTTGGCAAAGACTAACAAAATCCTCCAGGAAGGATCTACGCGAACACGTAAATACACTACGGCTAAACGGGCTTATTCTGAAGCGTCTGTAAAGACGTGAAGCTCAGTTTGCTTGAAGTCTGTTATGGGAACCATCCGCTGAATGTGGATGCAGGAGATGGATGCCCACTCCAGGCATATTTTTTTCCATCCGTTAGCAAGAACTGTATGCATTTCCTCATCCAAACCTAATTTTTTGCAAAATAACTTTTGAAAAAATATTTCACCAAAGATCAGAATAGGAGCCATATAACCTAAGGGATCATATTGAGAAGTCAAATGATTAAGAACAGTTCTTTTGGTTAACGGACTATTGACTTTAAATGGCAAGAGAGCAAGAATAAATCTGTCACGTTTAATGTCCCACTTAAGTCCTAACAACTTGAACGGTTTATTCATTTCAATGAGATCATTTTGTGGGATGTAGTTTTTAGATTTGGGAATGTTCGACATTCATTCATGAAAATTTATCCCTGTTTTAGCGAAAGATTTTTTCATATTGCGATAGAAACTTGCCGCTTTATCTGGGCCTTGAATTCCCGCAAAGACATTATCCACATGTGAATTAAGAAGTGCTTTATCCAAAATTCCCTTTTCCTTGTCGCTTACAGTCGATCTTAAATGCTACAGATGTTGTTTAACGACCACGCTGATTAGAGAAGAGCTGGAGACTAGTCCAAAGGAAATACAACAAAACCGGTACGTTATAAAATTTTCCGTCACTATTTCTTTGAAGTAATCTTTAATCCAAAGAAACTGAGTAGTATCTCTATCAACTGGATTCAAGGATATTTGTTAATACTGTTTGTCAATATCAGCCACTATCACATATCGATAGGTTCTTGCAAAAAGTAGTATTCCAGCTAGATTCGGCAGTATTACTGGCCCCCTTGGCAACGCTTCACTCAAGCTCTTTACCTATTTACCAATTTTCGCGGGAGCATCGTACACAATTTGTATCTTCGTCGTGGCTTTATCTGGTTTTATCACCGCATGATGATTTAGCCAAACAATTAGACATTTCAGTATTTGATCATGAACTTCTTATATTCCATACGTTTGCAGCTCATGAGTCCATGCAATGTAAGTTAGTTGGCGTGAGTTTACAGCTACGAGAAGAGCAGAAAAAGCTTTGATCAAATATTGTGAAAGAAATGACGTCAAAGATGAACGTCGATGATCCAAATCTCGAACAATCAAACCAATCAGACGAGGAAAAAGAAAAAAGAGTGAAACAGGCAGCTATTCATAATACAACACGAGGTATCCAAGGATATACATATTAAAATTTTCTCTTATTTTCACTTATGATTTTTTGTCTCATGTTACCCGGAACAAATGCCAGATTGTCACTTGTACAATTCTGCTCTTATATGGATGACGGGATTTATGTGAAAATATCACAGTTTCAAAACTCCACTGTTAACTATAAATCGGAATGGGAATTGAAAATGGTCACGATATGCCAGAAAAAACTCGTCCACGTCCAAGCTACTTACTGTTCCAAAACTACTCGCACCGCATAAACGTGGGCAGTCGTTAGGATTAGTTTGCAAGTTATCAACGATACAACTAGAGTATCTGGTAGTCCTGCTCAAGACTGCGAATTACTGGATACCTCACATTCCATTCGGGAAATGGTTCTCTAACCACAGAAAGGTGACCGTAAATGGCGAACGCGAAACCTTGTCTCGTACTCTTATTATTTCACAAAACGCATTGTTCAAAGACCACCAATTATTCAGTGAGACACGGCGATATCGCGTTCGTTGATGGCTCACACTCCATCACTGATTTCACGACAGAGTGCAGTCCTCAGACTCAGAAATGTTTAACTCGTCACGAGACAATGATAGGGAACTTGAGGACATACAAAAATTAATTTCAATACGCACCACTGTAAACATGTGCCGCTCATGTAAGTAAAATGGAAGTCATCATAGATTGTTTAGAAGCGGCCTTAGTCGACAAAGTCCTACAGTCACCGAAAATAGCCCACGTTGTAACTTACCAGGAGCTATACTCATAGAAAAAGTTCTCGAGGAACGATTTACTTCCCAAGAAGTAATATTCAGAGATCAACCTCAAACATTTCTCGTCGAGGAGACAACTGAAAGTGAAGACTCAGAAAATGCGAGATCTCAGTTCCTGTCGGACATGCTTTTCGAAAATGAAGCAAAAACAATTTGTGAAATATGAAACACATTCCGTCGCATAATGCGCCAAATTATTGTTAAAGGTGCCACTGCGCCTATAAGGATTCTGCTAAAGAAGGACGGCAGGCTCGCTTCATGGCCGTTTTGATTCAAATACTTCAGGCTTGCTTTATGGTCGTTTTGATTCAAATACTGTGAGTACTCTTTCACTAGCTGTTACACGGTAGAACTCATTAGTTCCTTTTTGTACATGATCTTCACTGAGTGTGTTCGATACAGCACGATGTCTAAATTACTCTTCTGTAAACAATCCACCAGCAACGGAGTTCTGTGGAGCGAGACCGTCACACTCCATTGTTCCGTAAGTGTAATAAAAAACAAAAAAAAGAAGAGAACGGCTAACCAACTTATATTATGAAAACTCCGACCTGTACCAAACCCTCAACAGCAAGCAACCTACAACATCTCTGCAATAACAAAGTGAATTCTACATCTGTTACAGGAAACTGTTTAATACTTCACGCAAAAGGAAAAAAGCGATTTAACCCGACGCTGAAATATGCTCCAGTTCCTGCTACATAAATCCTCACATCTTAAAAAGTTTTTTTACCTTGTTACTCCCTCCGCCCCTCCATTTGCCACTAAGAGAACGAAAAGTCTAGCTGGACACACAAATTTTTTTTCTTCTGCAGTCCCCAAACAAAAATAATTCATATTTATCGTTCCTGAATCCACTTTTAATACTCGGTCCCAACTTAGTGTGGGTTTGTTTTAACAAATGTTTTTTGTGCATAGTTGACCTGAAATGCCCCCCAAAAAGCTAGAGCTTTATAAAGGCGCTTTACACTAAACATCTTATCTGTAATGAATTTGGAATTTGCCATCCTAATCTCATGCATTTGGCTTATGAGAGTTCACAGCCTTCAAGTCTTTCTGACGGCTTGGACTCGAAAGCTCAAAAGTAACAGCTCTCGCTCACAGCATTTTAGCGAAGTTGTATACCGCCCAAGCGTACAGAGAACCACAAATTTTTAACTCAAGCTCATTTCTACCAATTTAATCTTGTTCATTCAACCACCAGCTTTTCTTCTATAATCCTCTAATTTTATTTGGTAGCTTGCAACTGCCGTTTGACAATATTACACCCGTCGAAACATGCGTCAAACAGGCAACACTTAGAAAAGAGAAACAACGCAACTATATTTTCACTTGCTTCTTAGACGCAAGAATTATTCATTATTAGTTCATCACACAAAAATTGTAAGTACAAAAACTCAACAGTAACTCCATGTATATACAGTTAACGCCAATAACGGCTTCTTTTCCGTATCCCCCCTCAGTTTCTAGTAGAGACCAAAATTAAACTACAAGAAAACGAACCCATTTCCTGGACCCTAATTTCGTGAAACAAGCTATCACAGTTTGATCTCCATTAGCAAAAAGTCGTTCGTAATGAACGTCATTTTAAGACAAAAATTAGTCTATGAGTTCTTGACAAAATCCTCAAGACAATTCCCAGCCAAAAATAGTACCTTAAACCCTATGAAGAATGAGCGAAAAGGATAATTTCGTTCAAAAACTAAACGATTAGGACAGCGATCTTGGACCCACATATGAAATTGAAGAAGAAAGGACCGGTGCTTGTACTTATCACATGAATGCATTGTACCAAGACGCCGCGCTATGGGAACATTAGCTTGTGTAAAAGAGGAACTGAGATCAAGCTTCAATGCGGTCTGGGTCTTCAGGAGATGTGATGAGCAGAGTATAAGCTTGAACATCAGAGAGGCTTTCACATTCTGTGGAATGCATGCGTCTTTTCTGCGTGGATTTATTTTCAGAATGTTCTACTCTTTCTTCCCGGTCATCATTCTCTTGTGTTCCCGATGAGGGAGGCAGCGAAGTATCTCGGTGAGGACGGCTGAAAAACTCTCTTTAAAAACTCACACATTAGAATCGGTTTAAACTAAATTGGAGAGAGGTTACTCTAAACCGAACATGTTTTCCAGTACGAACGTTCCGAACTAAAAAAGGAAAATGTCATCTTCCATCAGCAACTTGCACTTCTGCAAGAGTACAGCGCATAAAAGAGAAAAATAGTCATGACCTCAACGGATAACAAAATTTTAAAACCGTGACATGTATCTATCTTACTTGGACACCTAATGCCTACCTACAGCAATACTCGTTTGATTCGCTGAAGTGGAATGATGAGAAGCGTAAAAAAACCGCAAATAGACAAGTCACCTGATCATTGCAAATGACTTTGTCCTTCTGGGAGCGAGCGTTTCTGGAGCTGAAGTTTCTTCCAATTTGCAGAGTTCGTCCCAGTGTGAAAGCAAATCTGATACTGTAAATCCTTTCGAAGCAGCATGAGCTGTAGACTGTTGCCAAACATCTAAAATTATTGATCATTTTCTTTGTAAATACAGCACCAACGCGATGAGCCCGTATTTTTATATGACCCTTAATTTGAGTTCAAACTTTTATGACTCTATAAAAAAACGGAAACAAATAAATGCAATAATATTAGCAAATGACTGTATTACAATCCCAACCAACACAGCTTGAAAAACAATTCTCGATACTAAAGTGTGAACCAAAAGCAAATATTTAACTGCGAGTTAAGGATGAAGAGAACTACCTGTGAAGTCAACCAAACTTATTCGAGGTGAATTTGGTTCACTTTTGCTTTTCTTCAGAAGAAGCCTGTTACGGTAAATCTCATATTCTGCCCTTGCCTGAAGTTCCCGATAAGCAGTAACATACTCACACGCCTTGCCCAAAAGAATCACACCATTCAACATTTTTATGGATAAGACAAGGAACCAAGATAAAACTGAAAAGACCTAACGTTCACTAATTTTTTCCTTCGGGTCTGCATCTTACTTTAACAAGTCACAGAAAAACGGAAGAACCAAAAACACTGCCCTCATCTTGAATGCCAAAAAACGCCTACCCAATAATATAAATGCTGATGTAGTGGTGAAGTCAAATGTTTGAGTTAACACACGGATGACCATGATAGTCAGAGGAATTGGAATGAAACCCATTCTTCTCGAGACTTGGTCAGAATAATCGGAAAATGCAGTTTCGTCATGATTACGTACAACATCGTAAGCTATTGTGATCGTAAAATCTAAAAATACCACGAAATACCCTGCTTGCGATTTCGCTCTGCTTCTCTATATAAAAAAACTTAACCATCACCCGAAGGATAATCAGGCTGTCCTACGCATTGAAAAAAAAAAGAAAAAACTTGAAACATGAATTTCTTCCCAATAAAGAGATTCTACAAAGTATTCTGCCATCTTGCCTTTCCGTAAAAGAGTTTAATAGAACGATTAGAAAGTTCAAAACCAAGTAAAGCCGATAAGCAAAAATCCAACCTTTATAAACTTCCGACGGAATACCATTAAACTTTGTTATAAAAGCATGCTTTAGCCAATCAACTATGAACTCAACAATTACTACCATCGCCTGAACAAAAAAATATTTTAGCAAAAGGTCCATAGATAAAGAATACCAGAACCAAAGTAAATTCAATATTAAAAGCAACCAAATCTGGTGCCATTTCAACCAAATGTTCAATTTTCCAGTTAACAGCCATCATATTTCTTACTACAACCATCGACAGTATAATCATTATATGAAAACGTTCGCGAACATCACTATAAATAAATTTAAAAAAGAGTCACAGTAGGCGTTGCAATGAGTATGAAAAAACTTAGAGTAGAAGCGCTGTTTTACCTCTGAGATTCAAAAATAAGTAAATAAATAAACGAAAATATACCTGCAAGCCATTTGGAATAAATTAGGTTTACCAAACTTCTTGAAAACCGACCCCTTCAATTCGACAAAATTATTAGACATCATTATAGCGATAAGAGCTTGATTATGTGAGTTAAAAGCAACGTTTAATGTAGTCGTCTGAAGAATACAAAGCATATGCTTAAAAAATACTTTTTGAAAACTGGATTGCATTACCATTCAGTACATTCTCGACTTTTGTGACTATAGAGAAGGACATACTACGAGAAATAAGATGAAGAAGTATTCTAAGGTTTGCACGCACTACGAGCAATATGAAAATAAAGACGAGTGCTGTTTACTTGAAGCAAAACCAGTACTGTATGGAACGTTGCGTAAACAATTGCAGGGAAAAGGTGGCCAAGAGTACGTAACAAAGTTGCAGAACGTTCACTTGCAGTCCAAAAGAGGGCATCAAAGATATCCTTTGAAAATAATGCAATAAAGCAAAAAGGAAAAACAGCAAAAGGGAGAATTCAACTTCCAAGTAGCTTCTAAAAAGCTTTTTCAAAATATATCAAAGTCTAATTCTTCTAGGTACCTGACAGACGATGATAATTTTCTCAAAACAGAAACTAGCTAGGAAAACCACATCAAAAAGTAGGAAGTACCTGGCCAAAACTACTAAATAATTTATCAGCCACTTCGAGCATGTTATAAAATATGTACAATTTTATCACCCCTTGCCCTCGAACCTAAAATTAAAACAAACGAATAATTAGGTCACCATTTTGAACCTGCTACTTAGTTATAACTTACAATTTACGAAGCATTACAAAACATTTTTTCCAGGAACACTAAGCCTTTCACATGTTCTTTGTAGAAAAAAATAAAATATAAGTCGCTGAATTTTGTAACCTGATGATACATCACTGAAGTATCAATAACTTGCATGATCAAAGATGCCACTATAATAATTGAAGCTTTTAGAAAATCACAAGTGTCTGAAGATGTCCACCTCCGAAGTCTAAGAATCCAACCCAGAATAGACATCTGAACGAATTTCGATTAAAAAGTATAACAACATTAGTAAGAAAGTTGACTACAAAAAGTTCAAAACTTACACATAGCCGGAGTGGCAAAAATGTTGGTAGGTAACAAAATGCATCTACACATTGCATAAAGCCATAAAACAAAAACTTTTCCAGCTCTACTGGAATACGGATAAACGCATAGACCTTCCTCCTTTTCTCTGTGTATCGTGAAACATCATTTTGTAACGAGTATCCTCTAAAAAGTGCTAAAAGATTAACAAACAAAAGAACTTTTTTGAAACTTGAATAGTGAAAAACTGCAAAAAACCTTGTGAGTTCCGACCAAAAATAATTCCATAAGCTATAACTGTGATAGGTTTCACGATCTAAAGCAGCATCACTGTCACTCTCATCGTGACCTGCATCCACCTCTTCCTCCGATGCTTCTTCACTTGGACCAAAAGAATGTCCAACATCACCTTCGCTAGAGACATTCGGTTGCCTTCCAGTCTTAGACAAACAGCAGTTTTTTTCCGGCTCAAAAGGTCCTTCAAATTCGCTAGCAACTTCGTCAACGAACTTAGTTGCTTTCCGGAACCTCACCGTCATTTCTGCTGAAGGTTCCGTTGTGGCCGTACAAACATTCCTATTGATTAAGAAATATCAAGAAAGTGAGACAAAACAAAATGCTTTATCTTCTTACCAATGCCGGAGCTAATAACTCATTACTAAGCCAAAAAAAAAGCTCAAACAGAACAGTAACAAAGATCAAGGTAACAGTTTTAAAATGAAGCTTCTGAAAATATAAAGAATGATCAAGGTTTGATTGTTGAAACAATAAAGCTTATGACTGTTCGAACATTTCCTAAGAATTCTAAAACAGGTAAGTAACAGCGAATAAATTATTGATTTCAGGCAGAAATCTATCAAATGCAGAAAACAACTAAAATGAAATAAAATTAAGCACAGCTAAATCAACAAAAAGAAAAAAAAAA